AGAAGCTCGGTAGAGGGCACTCCTGCACCAGAACAGTTACACAGCTCTGGATGCAGCCCTGCCCAGCAGGTTTCCACAGAACCTGCAAATCCTCACCCACCACAGCGCGCCTGCGTGCAGGCCCAGGCTCTGCTCTCTGCCTTGTCCACGGTTGAGCATGCGTGGGGGGCTCACCTTTGCACTTTGTGTTATCAACCTTACAAAGGCAGAGATAAAGATGAGGAGGTGTATTACTCTATTAACTAGATTCATTCAAAAGTTCCTTTATTTAGTGACACATTGTTTCTAAGCCTTTAAAGGGGAAAATGAATATTGTAGGATGCAGTTTTCAAAGTTACTGCCACGTTATTGCATTCTACTTGCTTGAAATAATTGAGTCCTTCTCTGGGTGTAAAGTCATGTGGATGCAGAATAGAAGGAGTGGGGCCAGAAACGGCTCTGCTGCTGGAAGTGAGATTCATCTGAGATGGGGCATCAGAGCAGGCTACTCTCTGAGAACGGTCTTATTCTGATTAAGTAAAAGGAAGAAAGGCACAGTGCAGGCCACTGTCCCCTGAATAGAAAGTGTGTCCATTGGATGGACAAATACATAATTAAACCGGTCTCTTTGCACTTAGGAAAGCTGACCTTTATTAGGCACTTGTTCTGTGTGCCCAGCACCGGGCCAGACACTGCACATGTGTCATTCCATTTGTTCGTCACACCTACTGCATGGGTTCGGTACATTTCAGAAATGGAGAGCTTAGGGAGTGGTGAGTTATCGATTGACACACAGCTGGAATGTGGTGGGAAATGAGTGGAAGCCACTTGTGTGTCCACACAGCCCAGGCTGGAGGCCTTGACAGACATCCACGAAGAAAGAGGTTCAAAGCCATGAGTGGCTGATAAACATCTGTTTCTTTTCACAATTCCAGGGCTTTTCAATTGAAATCCATATTTGAAGGAATGTTCCTCKTTGACTCAACCAAATGACATTTTTATGTGTTAGAAGTTAAATTATCAACTGTAAAATCAACTTATCACCTGGTGAGAGAAATTAGAATGTAGAGCGGCTGCTATTCAATTATGGTGAGTTGTGTTTAACGGCTCTGCTCTGGAAGGCTCTATTAATGTCTATTAATCTGCTTTTGCTACTGGACAACAGACAGCCTTTATTGCTGAACCCTACTGAGGGGATGCCAAATGCAAAGGCTGTAGTCAAAACCACTGGGTTGTTGCTAGTAATTTGCTCAACACCAAAAAACCTATGGGCTATTTGATTAAAATATTTCCCTCCTACTATGCCTAAATAAAAGCAGGACCTGACGGCGGGGAGAAGCAAGCAACACAAAGGTGTCCTATATTGCTGGACCTGGAGCAAGAGGCTGTGAGGCTCGTCGACTCCTTTCCAAATGCCCAAGTCCCAGGCAGCTACTCTAAGTCCCACCCTGGGCTCGTGCTCAGCCTCAGCCTGTCTGTGGCAGAGTGGAAAGAGAAAGAAGACACACTCATCAGAATGCGGTTGTTTATGGGGCAGACCTTGAAGAGGGCCAAGAAAATCACTCTGAAAATGCAAAGTCCTGTCCTCCCAGAGTTCCCAAGAACAGAGATGACGTCATCACAGAGCACACCAGTCTGTGATGTTTTGCTTGCTCACTATCATTTGGAAACGCATTCTTCCGTGGGAACCACCACATTCTAGCCCCGAGCCAGGTCAATCAGTTGCCTTGAGGAGGGCCAGGCAGGCCAGAAGGATATGTATCCCAGGCTTTCTTTGGAGTTGCTAGAGAAGAGAATTACATTTTTATTTCTAGGATCTCCACTAAAGGGTGTGAATCTAAGGCTGCCTGTAGGGAGAAGAATATACAATAAGGAAAAGAGTAGAGATGGAAAAGAGTTGATCTACATTTTATTTTTGAGCTCCTGGATCCAGCCATGCCTGAAAAGAATACTTAACCTGAAACTATCAGTAATGTCAGTAAATATATTTCCTTCTTTTGTCCAACTCAATTTGAGTTGAATTTCTGTCTTTGCAATTCAATTCAGGTAGCCTACAGTTTCATCCCCCAGGGAATTAAAATCCTGTGCTGGTGGAAAGGAGTGAGGAAGAGCTGAGCATGCCCTTGGCTCTCCACATGAATACAGTCAGTGCTCCAGCAGTACGGGTTCAGCATCAGGGGGTTCCAACAACTATTGATCAAAAATATTTGAAAAAAAAAGTTTCCTGCAGGATGAGGTGGTGGACACCTGCAATCCTGGCAGCTGGGAAGRTGAGCAGGAGGATCACAAGTTCAAAGCCAGCTTCAGCAACTAAAGGAGGCCCTAAGCAACTTGGAGAGAACTTGTCTCAAAATAAACAAACAAACAGGTCTGGGGATGTGGCTCAGTGGTTAAGCACCCCTGGTTTCCATCCCTGGTACCAAAACAAACAAGCAAACAAAAAGTTTCCTCTGTACTACATTGGTACTGGTTTCTTTTATTCTTGCCACTGTTTCTTAAACAACACAGTATAACAACCGTGAAACCATCATATACATAGCACTACCTACTACGGGTAATCCAGAAAGGATTTAAAGGATTTGGGAGGATGGTCATAGGTTACATGAAATACTAGGCCATTTTTATGGGAGGGACTTGAGCATTGGCAGTTTTTTTAAAATAGTTTTTTGGTTTCTTTTTTCTTTTCTGGCACTGGGGCTTGAACCCACGTATGTTTTACCACTGAGATCATCCCTCGMTCTTTTTATTTTTTGATTTGGGATAAGTTGCTTAGAGTCTCACTAAGTAGCACAGGCTGGCCTTGAACTTTAGATCCTYCTGCCTCAGCCTCCCACATGGCTGGGATCACAAGTGTGCGCCACCATGCCCATCTGAGCATTGACAGCTTTGGTATCCTCAGGTGTCTCGGAACCATCTTTTGAGGACATGCAGGGACACCTGCAGTGCTGGTTTTGGAGCAGGCAGTCTGCATAGAGGTCACTCCCTGGCAGTCTCAGCACCTGGGCCCAGGTTCCTGTCTGGCAGGCTGAGCTGACATCTGCAGGGCTCTCTCCAGTGCCACATTCCATTCCAGTCCCTGGAGAGTAGGTGACAACAGTGGCTGCTGCCATTCCAAAGCGGGGCTGGTCCTTCCTTCTACAGGTGTGGTCTCACATGCTTTGTTACAAGCTAAACCGTGCTTTCTGCCCTAGCTTGTGAAAGAGGTCTGGAAAAGGAAAGTGTGTCCTTACTTATTAGATAATCATTAATATTTTCATGTTCTTCTCTTTTGAAGCATCTCCATCTGTGTTGTCTCAAAAGTCTGACCTGAGGGATGTGATCACCATTTTTCTGCTGTGTCAAGGAAAAGTGGCTCTGCGGGCAAGGGATGCGYTTGTTAGGTATCTTAAACTAGAATAACATCACTGAATTGGGGTGACAGGAGGTAGAGTCCAGGGAATATTGGTTTGTAAGCCTCAGTGTCATAAACTCCAGGCTACAGACACATTTTACTTCTGCCCCCAAGCGTATGTGGAGCCTCAGGCATGCATTCAGACTGCCCTGTGATTCCGGCTCGGTGATCCACCTGTGGGCGGGTCCTTGTCTCCAACAGGGGGGTCGCGGCTGTGGCTCCTTAATAGAGGGCTTTCCTGGCCTGTGAGAGGCCCCGGGTTTCATATGCAGCACCAATTTTTTTTTAAAAAGCGTTTTCAACATGGGCTGGCAGGGGTGCTTTCTCTATGTCTAACGCTTACTCTGGGATGTCGGCAGTTGGTGGCCATAAAACAAGGCAGTCGAGGGGGGGCGTCTGGTGAGTTGTCTGGGTTATCTCGGGTAGACACGTCTCCTCAGTTCCCTGTCCTGGTGAAAAGCTGGGCGCCCTCTGGAGCTCGGACGAGACTGGGCTTCCCGAAGGACCTGGGCCCCCGGCACCGCGAGGTTTTCAGGGCGGGTGGGAACGCGTCCAAGGTCCAGGGTCGCAGCTAGCCTCTCGCCACCCGCCGCAGCTGAGGGCTCACGGAGGCCAGCGCCTTCCCTCCCGTGCCCGGGCGCTGGGGGCTGACCCCATCGCCTTCGCTCCCTGCGCTGCACTCTCGCCCCCGCCCTGCTGCCTGCCGGGGGTCGCCGGAGCGCGGGCAGAGCGGGGACCCAGACTGGCTCTCGAGACCGGCTGCGCCCCCACGACTGCGGCGCGGCCGGCAGGGCGCGGGCGGGGGTTCCGGGAGGCCGGAGCTGTTTTTAAAAGACGCGTCAGCTGCTGGGAGGAAGAGCGGGCTCCGGGCCCATTGTCTTCGCGCCGCGCGACACGGCGCAGCGCGGGAGGGGAACCCGGAGGCAGTCGGAACCGACCGAAGCGCGCGAAAACCCGCGGCGCGCCCAGAGGACCACGCCGGACCCCAGGGCCGAGGGCGGGCGGGGCCGGGGGCGGGGCCTGCGAGGGGCGGGGCCGGGGGCGGGGTCGGGCGCCCTGCGGCCGCTGCAGGCTGGCGGCGGCGGCTGCAGCGCGGGCAGCGCCGGGACTGCGGGGACAGGAGGCAGCCGTGCAGCAGCGACGCCCGGGGAAGCCCGCATCCCGCCTGCACCTCCGAGGCGCGCCCCGGGCGCGGGAGCGACCCCGAGGAGCCGCCCAGGGCCAGAGTCGAGCGCGGGGCGCTGAGAGCCCTGAGTCGGCCCGGCGCCCAGAGCCCAGGCAGCGGCCGGAGCGCGGGGGCGCGGCCCTGGGAAGCCGCAGAGCGAGYCCGGGCTGGGGGAAGAGCGCCGGGCGCGAGCGCCCTACACAGCGGCGTTGGAGGCGGCTTCGCGGGAGAGGAAAACCGCCGGCAGAGACGCGATGACCGCCGATAGGGAGCCTGGCCGGCTAGGAAGCGGGCGCCGCGGAGTCTGAGCGCGCGGAATCGCGCGTCCSGGGGACGCCGAGGCTCAGGCCGGTGCGGGCGACCGAGGGCGGCGGGCGGGGCCCAGGTGCGACCGGCCGCATCGGGCCCGTGACTGCTCGGGGGGCGGCGCCCTCCCGCCGCAGCCGCAGTGGCCGGCGCCGCAGCGAGGAGCCATGGGCAACATCTCCTCCAACATCTCGGCCTTCCAGTCCCTGCACATCGTCATGCTGGGCTTGGACTCGGCCGGCAAGACCACGGTGCTCTACCGGCTCAAGTTCAACGAGTTCGTGAACACGGTGCCCACCATCGGCTTCAATACGGAGAAGATCAAGCTGAGCAACGGCACGGCCAAGGGCATCAGCTGCCACTTCTGGGACGTAGGAGGCCAGGAGAAGCTGAGGCCGCTGTGGAAGTCCTACAGCCGCTGCACGGACGGCATCATCTACGTGGTGGACTCGGTGGACGTGGACCGGCTGGAGGAGGCCAAGACGGAGCTGCACAAGGTGACCAAGTTCGCCGAGAACCAGGGCACGCCGCTGCTGGTCATCGCCAACAAGCAGGACCTGCCCAAATCGCTGCCGGTGGCCGAGATCGAGAAGCAGCTGGCGCTGCACGAGCTCATCCCGGCCACCACCTACCACGTCCAGCCGGCGTGCGCCATCATCGGCGAGGGCCTCACCGAGGGCATGGACAAGCTCTATGAAATGATCCTGAAACGCAGGAAGTCCCTCAAGCAGAAGAAGAAGCGGTAATACGCCTGGCAGGGTTCGGGAGCTAGGGGGAGCAAGCCAGGGAGCGAACGAGTCAGGAGTGAATGAATGGATAGATGGGTGAGCGAGAACCCGCGCCCGCGAACAAAGACAGCGAACCAAAGCGATGCTTCGAATTTTTTAAACTCTGTCTCTGTACCCAAATGCAGAACTGGTGACTTAACCTGGCCTGGAGCTGATTTATCAGCCAACTCGCCATCTGCCCTACCCCCACGCCAGCTCTGGGGACCTTTTGTCTGAGCACCGGAGATACCTAGTGGGTGGGGGACCGGTGGGGTGTGGACCTTCGGTTCAGGCTTGTGCGCCCTCCGGCCCCAGGAGAAGAATCAGATGTCAGAGACAAGGCGATTTCTTGATTTCTTCTTACTCCACTGGGCCGGGAGTTCAGGCTGCCCCGCCCCCATTGGGGGATCACCTGTGAGTTACCTGAGGTATGCAGTTCCCAGAACCCTGGGGGGCACCCATCTGGAGGCAGGGTGGCATTGGGGGTGGCGGTGCTGGGGAGATGAAATGCCCCTTGCATTCAGGGGCTTGGAAGCTGAATAATTTTATGTCACAGGGCAGGCCCCTGTTGAAATTTCATAGGTCCTGCTCTGGGCCCAGAGGAGGTGGTGGTTTGGGCCATCAGGACTGCCTGGGACAATGCGGCAGCTGGAGGGCACGGGGCGCTGTGCTGCTGGCCTTGGCTGGGAATGGCCGAGAAGATGCCCCCTTCATGGGGCTTTGTGGTGGCTACAGGATTCCAGTTTTGTTGAGAACTGCTTTTCAGCCTGGAATGAGACCTCTTCCAGATGGCTTGGACCCTGTCCATGTGTAGGTCATTATCACACAAAGAGACCAATAAAAATTTTWAAAAAATAAGAAACTGTTGGAGGTGGTGGCAAATGATGCATTTACTGTTTGCAGGTTAGTTAAAGGTGTTCAAAGGGCAATGCTCTTGGCATAAATCTGGATGGTGTGCGTGTGAGAGAGAGTATACAGGGACCTCCCTCTGTATTGTGTAATCAGCATAAATATCTAGATCCATTCTGTGTGGAATTTTAAATTCTCTGAATCTACCGATTGGTTTGGATGAGCATACCAGCTACAGATGTGTGCTGAGTTGCAAGATGGTTTTTCTGCAAGGGATGTCTCTTGTAATACTAACCGTGTGGTAATGGGTTTTCAGACATGTTTTTAAAAATAACTTACAAATGAATACTCACCTTAGAAATATTCACCTTAGGAAAAAAGACTTTGCTCTGCCCTTTTATATCCCTTGACGCTGCAAGTGGCGACATGTTCAGATTTCTAATTTGGTTCATTGTGGCCTATCTGGTTTAAGTATTTCATTCAGAACATCTCATTAGAGTATTTGATGTCATGCACCAAAAATAAAACCCCACCTTTTTGCAAAAAACGACCTCGTTGCATGGATTTAAAAGCGGAGGAAAAGCTAAGGATGTAGTCCTTCTCCATTCATTCTCTAACTGGCCTTGTAGCCAGCAGGCACTTTGGGCAAATGCAAACAAGGGGTGCTTGAGATAAAAGAAAGCCTGTGACGTAATGGTCACTGCTGCTCAGGCACTTCACAGTTTACTTGAAAGAAGCTTTGGAAAATAAAGTGAAAGAAGAAGAAATGCATATTTTTAATAATGTAATTTTAAAAATCCTTTATAATCAGGACTGAGTCTTGGTTTGCACAACCTGTCGTATCCTGAAACACAGTATCAAAAGGGAAACTTAACAATTGACTGTTTGATTTTTTATTTCCTCCCTGAATCCATRTTTTCAGGTAGAATTTTGACATCCCCCTCCCCCCAGTGACATGTTTCTTTGCAAAGGAGGCCTGTAGAAATTGGATGTGGCCATGCGTGAGCATGTGGGTTAGCCCTTGCCCATTGTCCATTACCCTCCGAGTGGCGATGTGAGAACCAGAGGCAGATGTCTGGCTTCCTGCTTCAAACCCAGTTCTTACAGGAGATTTTTTAAAGACAGAAATCTAGCAGCCCATCTTCCCTTCCTCTTTGGTCAGTGTATTTGGTACCCTTCTAATGCTGGTCTTTTGTAGAAAYTCAGTAGAGAAAATAGAGCTAAGCAGTGATGAAAGCCTGCGAGATTTCAGTTTACATATCGATAGCATATTCACTGACTTCTGAATGGGCTGGTCCCATCATCTGAAGATTCTGTATAGAATTATTAAAATCAAATCCATCTTCCTTTATTTTCTTCACATGTAACAATTTCTTAAGCACTTTTTAGTAGTTCCACACTATTGAGAGAATAATATATTTATTTTGCGACTTTGCAGATGCCAAATACTGTCACCTTCTTGTGCTGACCATACCTAGGTTCCAGGTCACTGTTCAAATCCTGTAATGCTTTAACAATCGTGCGAGATGGTTTTGTTTTTTGCATTATCAATACTTAAGGGTGCCGTCAGCTGTTAGTAATTGTGCAGTAAAGTCCAGCCCTGTGCTGTATCAACTAATAGGTAAGAGTCTTAGTTGATTTCTGTAACATTTGACCTATTAGTAGCCCTTTTCATCTCTGACCCAACGGAGGAAGCACAGATGAAGTCACCTAGGAGTGGTCACCCAGGGGGAGTCCCCTCCGCGTATCAGTCAGYGGTCCATTATGCCTTTTGCCCTTTAGAGATGGAATGGGCTTCTCGTAGAGGAAGCTGGTCTCCCCGAGTGAGCTTTGAAATGTTTCCTGGTAGACACAGGGAGGCCACTTTTATTTCAGAACAATGCTCTTCACAAATTCTCTGTTATGGTGTTGGGACTGTGTCCCCTGGTTTCAGTTTTCATTTCTCTGCTGTAATTCTCTGTCTTGATCTTTCTTTGTTTCCATCCTTTTTTATAATGCATATATGATGCTGTGAACAGAAATAAATTATTTATACAATCAAACAACTGGGGACATTTTCTGTGGATGGTTTTTCAAATTGCTGTGTTCATTCTCCAGGCCTCTGCCGGGCAAGGATATGGGTTGCAAGATGGTGTCTGGGGTTCCAGCAGGGTGCAGGGCCGGGTCCGTCACCTGCTCTGTTGGTGTCAGTGTCTGGGTCCACCTGAATGGTGGTTGTAGAGGCTCATGCAGGAGCCCACGTATCCTCCACTCCCTCTGGAGAGCCCACCTGTTGGAGCATCTCTGTCATCTCAGAGCCTGGCCCGTCTCACCTCCTTTAAGAGATGACCAGTTCCTGGCCCACTCTCATTCACAACAAAATCCTGAATTGTTAATTCCTTCAAAAACATTAATCTGATTGCATAAAACTCAAAATAGCATTGCATAAATCTAAGGATACTAGTGAGGACAAAGCTTCTGAGTATCTAAACCATGTCTTGGCTCAGTATCAGGCACACGGGCACCCGTCAGCAGCACTCCAAGACTTGAGACCTCTTTAGTAGTAGGTGTGGTGAGACCCTGGTGCTCTGTAGATGCTGTTGGGAACCGGCACACTTTCTAAGGAAAAGAGTGGTGGGCCAGTGTGGGTAGCAGGTGTAATGGGGAGTTCTCGGGGCACTTGCAGGGATTAAGCCACACACTCAATGGTTAYTAGGTGACAGTGAAGACCCCAGGTGTCCTCTTACATCTGGAATCAAAATGACCAACTCCAAATACTGGCTCCAGAGCTTGGCTCCCCATGACTTTGCTCAAGTTCCTTAACCACCCAGCCTCCCCTTCCCCATATGTAAAGCAGGATCATAATGGTACCTGAGAGAATGCTGGGGGTTGAAGYACGGTCAGACGGGCGACGGGCTGAGCCCAGGGCCTGCCCAGAGCCAGGGCTTGGGAGCTTTAGCTGTCCATGCTCCTGGTCGTGAGCAATATGTTGTATGGATACATGGTGATTTCACCTGGCCCTGGCCATCAAGTTAGGTGGTCACAGTCTCCCTTTTGGTACTCTCTACCTGCCAGAAGCAAGGCTGCAGTCCCAACAGAATCTCTGGCCCTCCCTGTGGCCTCAGCAAGTGAAAGGCTACGCCAGGTGCAGACAGCTCTCCAGACTCTTGAAGCCATTGCTTTTCCTACTCCCCAAGTCGCTAGGCTGTGACACTCAAGGCAAGGAGTGAGTGGGTCCCCTTCTGCTACTGTGCAGAGCATGAGGTTAAGCACAGAGTGGGTGCTCTCTAAACATTAGTCAAGTGGCTTAATGTGGATTGGTTTTCCTTGTAAACACTAACATGTGCGCTATGTAAATTGTTATTTCCCGTTAAAGATTTAAATTAAAATGAAAATAGAAAAATATGAGTATCATTCTTCCAGGTCACTATTGTAAGGTGAACCCCTGCACAAGGATTATATTACATTATGATAAATATGTATGTGGGTTAGAAGCTTTTTTTGTGTGTGTGTGTGAGTCTGGAATAACAAGTCTTGCAAAAAAAATGAGCAAGACTTGACTTGATCCTTCATATTTCATTGAAGCTAGTTATTAGGAGCACATCACATCAAAAGAGCACAAATGCCATTTTTAAGCACTAAAAACCCCCGAAACTGGTGAGAAAGCTATTTAGAGACCATCATGACATCACATGGGTAAAAAAAAATATTGGCAATCATGGGGCCGGASTTGTGGCTCAGCGCTAGAGCGCTTACCTAGCATGTGTGAGGCACCGTTCTATCCTCAGCAGCACATAAAAATAAATAAATAAAATAAAGATATTGTGTCCATCCACAACTAAAAAAGTATTTAAAAAAYATTGGAAATCATAATAAGCAAAGATTGAAACCCTTAATTGATGCAATCTTAATCTAACCTCGATGTAACAGATTTCTGGGGATCCAAGGGTGGTAATTTCTCATCCTATATTTTCCAGAAGAGTGAGGCAGATGGCCCCTCACTGTGACCTCCAGGCACTGAGGGGGCTGATTTTAGTCATAACTGCTGCATTTCCCTGAACCTTTCCCTCGGGGTTCTGATTGTTCACGTATAAGGTTGTGGATGGACACGGACGACCAACCGCCCTATTCTTCTGGGCCTTGGCACTTGTCTCCAGAGCTTGGGCACTTGAAATGCTCCGTTGCCAGTGTTTCAGATGGATTGGACATCATGGTCACGTGGTGGAGCAAAGCCCAGCACCTGACAAMCCTGGACTTAACAGTTTCTCCCAGGCTGCAAGTCACCTCTCTCCCTTCTGCCTTGAGCCTACCCAGGTTTGGTGCCCACAGCCTGGGATTTGCCTGCCGTCTCCGACCACAGAGGCATTTCTTTCCTCTCCTCCCTTGGCCGTCTCTGCATGTTCATTTACCCTTAAAACAGCTCCCTCCTTYGGGCTCTCCCAGGCTCCCTTGGCACCTGTTTAAAATAGAGTGTGCACAAGTGGGTGGAGCACCCGATGCAGTCGCAAGCCCCAGGCTCAGCCTCCGCGTTCACAAGAGGAATTTGCAACTTGAGGGTTTCTGAGAAAGCGGCCAGTTGTTCTCCAGCTCAGAAGTGAGAATCGACCGGCTGGTGGCTGAGCCCTGCTCAGTTCTCAGAGTAGGGACTCTGTTTTGAGTGTCCAGCCTTACCTGTCACTGCTCACCTGGACTGCTCCTAGTGAGAACACTGAGTCGGTGAGGGTGATAGCATGGCATGAAGGTAGAACCGCGAGTTTTGAGTCGTACTTGGCATGAGTCTGGAATGACAAGTATCCCATTTGCATTTATTAATCAAGAGCGAGCATCGTGACACTTGGGGCAGCCCCGTCTTTGTCACCTGTTGGCTTGTGTAATGGTGCCAAGGCCATTTCGATAGGCCCAGTGTGTGCCAGCCACCTGCCAGGGGCTTCATATATGCTTCATCTTATTTCTTCCTCCCAAGGCCCCAACAGGCCAACTGGTTCTATCTGCTTACAGAGGAGAAAACCAAGGTAGAGGTTAGTTTCTTTCCTCCCGAGATTAGCCGCTGTTGAGGGTGTTCCGGTCCCTCTGCCCACCTAGCCTGCTGCTCCTCGTCTGGGGAGGTCCGCAGCTCCAGGGAACTCTGCGGAGGGACTCCCAGTCTAGGAAGGAGAGGAGTCAGGACTGGTGTTGCTGACCTGCATCACCCGGAGGGCCCCTCGGCCATCATGCCTGACCCCTTGCTCATCCCGGGATTTTCCACTGTAAAGAACCCACCCCAGGGGCTAGGACAAGATGACCGCTCTTGCATCAGGGCCTGACCTTGCATAACTSTCTCTGGTATTTCTTTCAGGACAGGTTGTGTCAGGGACACTGCCTCTCTGTCTCATCCAGGGGCATTACGCACAGCAGAAAAGCCCRGGCGGGTGGGTGTCAGGGAGGCTCCCCTCGGCCTCGGATCCGTCCAGTACTCCGTGAGGCTGAGAGTCCCTGCCTGCCCACCCCTCGGGGTGTTCTGCACAACATGAGCTAATAGATGGAGAAGCCCGTGGCTGCCCACCTGCAGGGCAAGTCGCCAACCTGCGGAGGATGCCACTCTGCCTCCCCTGACCCTGGTCTGCAGTGCCGCGTCCTGCCACACCTGTAGCTGCGTCCTGCTCACCCTGTTTCTCGGGGACTGGCCCAACAGCTCCTG